ATCACCGTTGATGCAATAAGACAAACAAACTAATGTATCAAAGCAGTGGCAGACCAGCAACCTATGTGTTCTATGGGGTAACATTGCTGTAGTCAATGGAGTCTGGTGGCTGTGAACAGAGCATAGACAACAGTTTCAGTTCCTCATTTGTAAGGGCTGCCTCAGGTGAAAATATTCTAAATATAGGATACACTTCAATCAATTTGAATAAGTGTTGGTGGCTAAAATACGTTTTGTTGTTACCCCCATCCAGATAAGTTCATCGCCTAGCTTTCTGCTGGTACTCCTGTCTGTTTTCCAAACTGGGGGAGTGACGACCGCCGTCTGCTGTAGGTTATACTCTGACTATTCATAAGTACCTCATACAACGGATCCCACTTGAAAAAAATCAAGTATGTAACCCTCAGTTCACCACAAACCGTGGATAAATATGGACATGTTTATCTTCAATCTGTGTTTGCATGTGTTTTTGTGTGTTTGTGTGTCTGTGTGCTCACTGAGTGGTTTGTAACGAGGTTATTTCATGTGTCTAATAAAGGCGGGCCCCTACAGTTCGGAATACCTTCTAATAAGGAGGATACACACACACACACACACACACACTGTCATGCCCATACACATACTGAGTAGCTTCCAAATACAGTTAATGATGTGCCTGAGAGTGTTTACACTGCGTGCATTGCAAGGTTGCAGAAACCAAGTTAACAAATAGCTGCCAGAAAAGTCATGGAAGAATGAGAAAAAGGAAAAAAGTTCATGCTGTAAAAGTGCCCTGAAAGAAAGCATAGTTGAAATAGCTACACAAATAAATAATGAAGATTAGGAACAAGCTCAGATAAACAAAATGATGTAACCTGCTCTTGTTTATGAGACTGTAAGAAAGGAGGGAGCTCCAGATTGTTTCATGTTTTTTCCAGGACTGTGAAATATAGACTAGTTTCCATGTTATGAGAGAAAGACTCTGCGCATAGTTATAAGGTTTCCACACCCTCTCCAACATGTTAAACTATAGAAATATGTTTTACTGCTTGGTTCAGTTTGTGCCTTGTATTTGGTTAACACAGCTATCAAATGTTTAATATCAACTACAAGACAATAGCCTTTTTTCAGACCGTTGAATATGGAAAAATGCTTTTTATGTCTTTTAAAGTGATGGGTTTTTGTCAGACTGTAGAAACTGTTGATCAGGTTAACCCCCTTTTGCCCGTGTGAGACAAATAGTTTCTATAGATTTATGTTAAATGTGGAGGCTAGGGCGGCTGTGGCTCACTGCGTTACTGCGCTGATCTTGTTTTGTTTTGTTTTATATTCCATTGCACAACAATGATGAAAACTTTATTTTCTCTTCTCTTTGAGAGTTCATTTTTGCGAAGTCATTTTTAAACTTCTTTTATTACTTCTTTGTGAGTGAGAAAGTGAATTCAGAAAGTGCGTCTTTACCATCTTTGGTAGCAACTTTACACAGGAAGGCCTCTGTGTTTACTGTAAGTCTTTTTTCTCTTGTCTGTCTCGTCCTCCTAATATTCATCTGTTTATCTAACTGTTTCTTCTTCCCTCTCATGCTGCTCTTTCCCACAACCCCTCTCTCTGACCCCTTCGCTCCTATCTTTTTTGTGTTGTCCCAGTCTTCTCTGTTTTTCAATGTATTTTTTCTTTATTTATGTGTCCCTTACTCGTCCTCTCATCCCTTTCCCGCTCTTGTTGCTTCTTTCTTTTCTTTCAAATCTGTTTTTCTGACTTTTTTTTAACCTTTTCTCTTTCCTTCCCCGTCATCTCTCCATTCTTCTCTCAGATGAAAAGGAGGATGTCACCATGGGGAGTCGGCTTTGGAAGTGGGCGCAGGTCAGTCATTTTGACCCCTGACCCTCTGACCTTGAACTTAATACTTACACAGGAAATTGTCTTTCCGCTTGACTTAAGGACTTTTCATTTTGGGAATCAGCCCTCTTGCTGAGAATTAGATGAGAAGATTGATCCCACAATCATATCTGTGTGTTAAGTATGGAGGGAGAGGCGTGAGTCAATTAGCTTGTTGTAGCCTAGCTTAGCTAGCGTCAAGTTGTTTAAGTAGGCTACATAAATCCTTGTGAAACAAAAATGTGCTGTTTTTACACATCTATTTACTGTATGAATGGTTGTCACTAAGAGGATACCATGTTTTCATTAAAGAGCTTTCTAGGTGTATTCAGACTTTTTAACTTTGAAGGGAGCCAGGCTAGCTGTTTCACCTAGCTTGCAGTCTTATGCTTGCGTAAGCTAACTGCCTCTTAGCTTCTGCTCCTTACTCGACGCACAGACAGAGGAGGGGTATTCTTTTTATCTTAATCCCATCAAAAACAATAATTTTATTTTTAAACAACTGCACTATTCCTTATAAAGGTTGTAGCAGGTGTACCAGCATCTTTTATTATCAGACATCATACTGTAGAATGTCACCAAAAAACCTCTCAACAAACGTTTTAACTATGTTTTAACTGAGTCTTTGCCTTTTGTGGTTTGTTCCCTACTGATAGAACATGTAGTCCTGTGTTGTTATTTGGTGTCAAGTTTTCATTCTCCCTAGGCACTTCGTTGTTTCCTGAGTTCATATCATAGACAACATATTATATGAATGTCTGTATTTATCTGTGTTTGTGTCTGTGTATCAGTATCTGTTTCCTAGAGATATGATGTGTGTGTGTGTGTGTGTGTGTGTGTGTGTGTGTGTGTGTGTGTGTGTGTGTGTGTGTGTGTGTGTGTGTGTGTGTGTGTGTGTGTGTGTGTGTGTGTGTGTGTGTGTGTGTGTGTGTGTGTGTGTGTGTGTGTGTGTGTGTGTGTGTGTGTGTGTGTGTGTGTGTGTGTGTGTGTGTGTGTGTGTGTGTGTGTGTGTGTGTGTGTGTGTGTGTGTGTGTGTGTGTGTGTGTGTGTGTGTGTGTGTGTGTGTTCATAACAGCAGCAGCAACAACATCAGTGTGTGTCTGTTTATGACCATGTGATACAATAATCCAAATATGGAAATACTGTTAATACCACGGTTTAATTAGGAAGTGATTTCACAGTTATAGTTTAATTCAGTTGTTTTTCTCTCTGACGTATGATGATTCTCATGACCAGTATTAGGATGATGATCATAGCCAATGGTTGCATAACGGTAATACTGAAGAAAGCTGCAGCACGTCAACAAACTCTGGAATGTTCCATCTGTTTCTATAATAAAAACTAACTGTAAACATAGTGACAAGAAGCTCTCCAGACACTTCATTAATGGAGACAAAGAGCCTCTACACTAACAGCAAACTGGGAAAACATGGCTGTCTTGTAAGCTTTCTTAAAGTTACAATCACCTAAAGTTATATTTTAACAATTTCGTGTTCCGATAGTCGATGTCAACTTATTAGATTTTCCTGGAACTATCGACCATATCACATGGTCATTTTCAACAATTTGCTCAGAAGTTAAGGTCTTTCAGTAAGTTGTAGGATGTGTTCAGACCAAAACCAAAACCTGAATTTTGCCCTGTTTTAGCAGTGCAATTATGGCCGGTGGTGTTTTTTTAGAATATTGAACATCTCTCTAATATTCGTAAACATCAGTACCCTTTTCTTAAAAAAATGAAGACGGACTTACTTTCATGCCACCTTTACAAACACATGTTTTTCCTGAACTTACCGTGGATGCCTTTGACTTTGTTCGCTTTTCTGGAAGCCCTTTTTTTTCTTTTGTTGCAGTACTCTGGTTGAGTCATAAGAGTGCCGATTGCTGAAAGACGACAACAATAACTTTTATTATTTATTTTTTAAATGTCTGTAATGCCAGAAGAATGTTATCCCTGATATGCATCACACACATCAAGTTCAAACACATATTTGTTTCTGTTTGGTTTGGTGCAAACTATTCAGGTCAATTTCTCTGTTTTTTTATTCATAGTACTTTAAGAGCATTGGTTTACTGTTAGCTAACAAAGTGGAGCTGTCTCGAATAACAGACAGCAGATGGTTCAACATTTAGGAGCTGAACTATCACACGGTCTTTCAACTTCCTGTCTGCTGCACAAGGATTATTAATAGTCCTGTGGAGTAAAATCATGCAATAGATTAAAAACTCCAAAATATACTGTTTTGTTTATTGTGATTACTTATTAAAAGAACAGTATCCAATAGAAACCTCTTTTGATGTCTTGTAAAGGTTCACGTAGCAGTGTTATTACCTCCATTCTGTTGCACAATTCGAGCAATAACAAGACATCAGTTTGAAATGTGATTTCCAAGTGTTTGAGTTTGTTTTAGTGGTTGCTGGGCACCTGCTGGTGTTAAGACAGAAGTAGATGGCAGAGCAGAGCAGAACATTGGAAACATGCCTCTGCTGAGACTGTTTGGATTGAAGTGAAGGATTGGACTGGAGATTTAAATCAGACTGAAGTGCAACATGACATCTAGAGTTTAAGGACCAAGCTGAACTTTGTCCCAACAAGACCCACTTCACATGTTCATCTTTGAGGAAGATACTTTATAAGGAAGCTGCTTGTCATATGATACTTAAACATGTTTTTGTTTTGTTATTTTATCTCCCATTGTAAAGCGTCCTTGGGTTTCTTGAAAGGCGCTATACAAATCTAAATTATTATTATTATTATTATTATTATTATTATTATTATTATTATTATTATTATTATTATTATTAAATGTACTCTCATTGTGCAGTACCTTGTTATTGCAGATTTTTCCACCCAGTAAGAAACTTTTACTGGCAGTCACGACACTCCTAATCCGGACCTTAATCAGATTAATATACAGCGAGTCTGATCACAGTACTGCCACACAAATATGAAACCAGACAGGTGTAATAGATGGGGAAAAACAGTTTTTAGTTCATGCTTTTTGGTTTCCTAAAATACTAAACAAGCCTTAGCATCCTCCCTCACCTTTTTTAGGAATGTATCAGTGTACTGCTGTATTGTGCTCACAGTATAAATCTTTATTGAGGAAAAGTGATGCTCATCAGTCTCTCTCCCTGTCTCGCAGCAGTGACAGCGCTGCCATGGCGTCAGGACCTCCGGAGGGGATGGCCAATCAGGAGCCTGCTGAGGTTGCGGAGGAGTGCTCAGGTAAAGTTTTGATTAAATGTTCAGTTAAAAGTTTTCATGTGATTTCAGTGGAAAAAGGAACAAAAGACTAAAGATTATTCATAATGTAAAATTGGTCGAGATCAATGACTTTAATAATGAAAAAACTATGTTTGAATCTCTGCATTTAAAAAAAACAAGATCTTTGACTCTGCATGTGATATGAGGACACAATGGTTTCTCAGGACCTGCTACCCAAAGCTAAATAAGGGATAATTAGCCAATTATTACATGCTTACTCAGTTAATAAATTAATAATTTTACACAACATTTTGTTTTTAACAGGATTTTATATATTTAAAAATGACAGTTTTTCTTCCACTTAAAAAAAATAGTCTGTTCCACTGCCTAGCAACGTCTGAACTGCGATCACAGCGACGTAACTTAAAATCGAGGTTTTCTATAACTGTCCAAATCTGTTCACAGTTTATTTTCCATTAACAAGTCTTTCAACAACACCAGAGCCCATACCGTGATCCTATTAGTGTGTATTCCTGTCTGTCTTCTTCTGCTGTTCCCTTTAGTGTTTACTTCTTGTCTGTTTTCTTGTGCTAAATTCTCTGTCCTCCAGCTCTCTCTGTCTTTGAACCTCTTTCCTTCTCTTGTTCTCTTTTCTTTTCTTTACTGTGGACAGTTTAACCATCATGAATCTAAAGTTTTGTGCTCTCCTCAAATCTAAACATTTAAATGTGAGCAGAGCGCCCTTAGCAGCGATCTGCTACCGAAAAGAGCAGACCTCTCATTGTCCAGATCGACCAATCAGAATCAAACATTCAACTAAGCTGTGTAATAAGACAAAAATAACAAACTATATTATGGGGAGAATTGGTGGGTACTAGTACTGTATGAAATCTACGTCATATCAGCGTTATGTTGACTGTGTACACAGACACAGCAGAGAAGATCAGGCGCTTTAGATCTCCTGGCTGCCGTTGGCAGGAAATGAAGGAACACAGAAAGCTATCATCATCTCACACACACACATACACACACACAAACCCAGATGCACACTGTCGATACAGATGGAGAGCATGCTGCTGATATAATTGAACCAGTGAGAAGTGCATTCAGAGGTCAGAAAAATGTGTGGGTGAAAACACAGCAGGAATTTTTAGCTGAAGTACGCCTGGGATTATCGAACAGGCCAACTAAGTGGAAACAGTCTCTCTGCCTGAGCTTAATTCTGACTTTTCAGTGGAAATCTATTATGGCAGGAAACAGACCATTAGCACTTAGTGTGGTGAGTGATTTCTATTTGACTGGCATGATAGAGCTGCCAGCAGGCGTGACTCCACAGATCACCGAGTCTGCCACTCATGTCCGTCTCAATGTGTCCGAGTCAACCCAGTGATGGTGCCAGGCCAGCAGAGAGCTGCAGTTTCAGAGGGTCAGACTCTGTTCATATAAATTATACATTGTTAGGCCTGCTGTCCTCATTATATTGTAAATAAGCAAAAATCCCAGAAATAAATGATCAAAAATTCACATGGATTATTTAGTAAAGTCCTACTGAACTTTTAATTAATTTCGGTGAATAAAACTTTCACTGGTGGTGTTTCCATTTAGTTACAAAAAAGAAAAAGAAAATTGCATTTATATTTTGTTGTTGTTTTTGACCCAGCTATTTTAACACTTTTGATATACTGATTTTAGTTTTCTTTGCCAATTCAGATATTAAAAATCGAACCTGCCAAGGTGGAGATATTTTAGGTTCCCTCTTTTTCTCTCTGGCATTGTTTCCCTCAAAGGTCACCATCTTCTCAGTATGTTAGCTCAGGTCAGTACTCCCCTGATGATGTTATTTTGATTATGAGAGTGTAGCCATGTTTTTAACTGAGAGAATGTACAGTATTTTGGTGAATATCAGCATCTTAGCTCTACACTGACCATAGAGCTGCACTGACCTTCCATTGAAGTGGTGGCCTTTTTCAACTCTCGGAGAGCAGACCTTTAACTTAAGAGTGCATTGTGCCTAAAATAGTGATTGAAATGGCTCCGTTGGATGGTGTTTCCTCCTGTTTTTTTCATCTTGGCAGCGCAGAAAGGCTTCATAAAAGTTTGTTGGAAGCTCTGCAATAACACAAAGCCGTTTACTTTCAAGTCTGGACAAAAGAGAGGAGAATTTGCCAACATGCTTTACAGAAAGTGGATGAGAATTGCATTATCTTGTGTCAGGTGCTTTATGTAGACAATTTGAAGTCTTGCATAATGTGTGTGACTTGTTTAGTTACATTTACCTATGATACAGAATGAATAAAGAAATTAGCTCAATCATTTTGACAAGTGTTCTTTAAGAAATGACCCAGAAATGTTAAGCAGCACAAGGTTGAGATTCCAGACATTTTTCAGTGTGATTAAGTTCCAACCAGAAGGTGTATTTTTAGAGAAAGGAAGGAATGCTCAAGGATTCCCCGCAGGCAGAAAGACAGAAATTACACAGCAAGTATGAAAAGAATGTGTCTTTTTTTATATATCGTCTGAAGCGTTTTGTTGGCCTAGGGTTAAAAAAATAGTTGGTTCACATTTTTATTTATTATTTTTCAACAGCTCCATCTTTGTTCACTGCTCCTTTCCATTTAGTTTCCTTCTGTTTTGTGTCTCAACACGATCCAGACTGTGGGGATTATTTATTCCATTATTATTTCTCCATTGGGTTTTGCTCCACATTAGATAACATTGAAACAATGACGATGGGTCTGTGGTGCTATGAAGCTGTAGATGCAGACCATCTTTAAAAGTGTTGCACTTCTATCTATACTATTGTAGGACTCACAATGGACATTAGAAAATACATTTCTTATTTTTGATCCCTTTTCCCTTGTAAAAACTGCTGACAATACCCACGATGTAATCTCTATAAACAGATAATGAGTTTCTCTTTGTAGTACATTTGCAGACCTTTTGTAGTCCAAGCAGTAATGACCAATCACATTGAGGTGGCATGGCTGCATGCAGTTAAAAAGTCAGTGTGGAGAGCAAATGCAATCTCCAAACCCATCGGCTAATGGTCCAACAGCAATGACACTCTTAGTGATAACGGACACTATCTTTCAGAAAACTTCTAGTCCACAAGCTAATAAAAAGCTAGATCCTGTTCAGAAAATAGCCAATGGGTTCTGAGATTGCAGTAATTCCTGTTTGTGTAAAACATGCAACACTCTGAAGGTTGTTCGACGACAAACACTGTATAGTGGTTTGGTAAACAGTCGAAAAACTGCATTCTGCATTTTTGCAAAAAAACGGTTTATTTCTGCTTTTAAAGTTGGGTCTTTTTAACAATTTTACTTTTTCTTGGGGCCAGCCTCAAGTGTCCAATGAACTATAGTTTTTTGCACTTCAGCAGACCTGTTGAATGTGGGATGGAGAATTGACCAGGGGGCATTTCAAGTGTTGGATGACCACCTTGCTGACTGAAAGCAGTGTAAGCTCTGTAGCTGTTTAAGGAGTTATAAAGGAGTTGTTGAGTTTTTCCACTGCGGTGCTAATGGAGCTAGACTCACTAGGGGGGAGGGTTTACAAGCTCAGGAGAGTGTGCGTGTTTATATCTGTCTTTATATATGTCAGTCTTGGTGTGTAGTTTCTCCAGGGATGCATACCTGGGAATTTACAGCCACGCGGAGCTCACTGCTGAAACTAGAGTTCATATGAGGGCAGTGTGTAAAGAAGCCGTGTGTGTAATTGTCTCGTTAACAGATAACTGCACAGTTAATTGTAAAGCTTCACTAGAGTGCGTCAGGACAAAGTATCCGTAACGGGGTTGAATTAGATTATTTTATTTCCTCTCTTTTCTCATTTGTCTTCACAGGAAAGAAGAAGTCCAAGTTCCAGACGTTTAAAAAATTATTTGCCAGGAAGAAGAGAAAGGAGCCGCCAGCAGCAGGAGGAGATGCTGGGCTCAAAGCCAGCCAATCTACTGACAATGTCGGCAAAACCTCCGAAAATAACACCCTCACTCGATCAGAGAAGGAGAAGGGATCTGGGTAAGATCAGACACAGATAGACAAAAACACACACCAACTGTGACGGCAACACTTTTATTGGCACAGTTTATACATCGACACAGTTTAATGCGCCTGTTGACAAGACTAAGAAATAGATTCAAATACTTCTATGTGGTTTATTTTGGAAATGTTTTTTTAATGGTTTTAAGATCCTTTAAAAAACAGAACAGCTCACTAAATGCACTTTGGGTGAACTAGAAAGCGTTTTTCTTTATGCAGCAACTTCAACCATATCTTTCACATGGGAATTCATATAAAGATTTACTCTGGAAGCCCTGAGAGGCAAGTGAGAAATAATATTCTGGTGAACCATTTTCTTGCTCAAATGGTAAATGGACTTCATTTATATAGTGCTTTTCCAGTTTTTCACGACCCCTCAAAGAGCTTTATATTTACAAGTCAACGTTCACCCATTTATACAGAGGCTGCCATACAAGGGGCCACCTGCTTCTCATACCATGCCATCGGGAGCAATTTGGTGTTAAATATCTTGTCCAGGGATGCATCAGCATTACACAACCTTGCCATTGTTAGACTACCACACTACCTCACAGCCACAGAGGCATGCTTTCTCTCCTGTGTTTTGACTCAAGTACAGGGATAATCTTCCCTTAATTGCTTTTTTCATTTGTGAAACAGGTGGTGAAACGTTTCAAGTCAGTTTATTTTTCCATCTCTGAAAATAAATAATTAAGGAATTATGAAAGATTATGCCAGCAAACATCTTTTTCAACCTGTTCTGACAAACACAGAAGAGAAAATTATTTTTACTAAAGAAATGCAGCACCTCTTTTCCTCCTCTGTCTGAAACCAGAGCCCAGTTTGATCTGATTGGTTAGCTGGTTAGATTGGTCAACCGCTTCGATATGTCCTGAACAATGTATAGCCAGCCAATAGACGCGAAAGTGATATGTAATGATGTCAATATGTTACGGAAGAAGAAAAACGAGTCCAATGGAGGCGTTTCTGGGATGGGGAAAGTGTTTGGGAGAGAAACTTTGGAATTTTAATCTTTGCAGACCATTTACATGCACACAAAGCTATATAACACACTACAGGAAAGGGAAAAGCCCAAAAAGCATAATAGGGCCTCTTTAGGTTATTTTGATTACTCTGATTACTTCCATTGCAGTCGTTTTTACTGTGCTGCACATTTTAAACCTTCATGGTTTCTTATTAACTTTTGTGCAAATCTATAAGTGTTTCTCTCATAAATCTATTTGTTTCAGGCTAGAAAAGCCATTCAAAAGACATTTAGTCAATTTAGTCCTCTTGAACCAAAGCCAATTCAATAGTTTTTGATGGGTTGGCCGACCTTCCCAATGAAATATGAATCCAGTTGTGGCAATATCATCTTGTTTTTTATTAATATTCCCTAAACGTTACTCTTTTTTTATCCAGCCACCACTATTTGTCAACCACAAGCATTTCAAGAGGTTCACCAAAAAAAGCAAAGCTGCTGTTAGTAGACACCATTTCATTTGCCTGCAGTAATATGTTTATATTACATTTGTTTGATTTCCTCAGCCTTTTTAGATACATATCTCCTCTTGTGTAGAGAGGACAGAGATACTTAAAAAAGGTGGACGTTGTTTAACATCCAATTCCTGTTCATCCTAAGCTTAGGCTTGTGGCTTCCTGTTTTTGTTTCAAATAGTGGAGTTTGTCTTCCTGTGGACAGTCCTGATTTCCTTTTGTTTTCCCAAGCTGTGGCACTTCCTGCCTCGTCTACTCTTGACTTTTCCTCATAGTCACGAGATATCTGCACCAATTTTACTGAAGCCATTCTGTGTTAATTGGAATGGCCAAATGTTGTTGGACAGCAAACAAGAACAGAAAGGAGATTATCGATTCATTTTGAATGATTTTCTTTTGTGAAAAACTGGCAACCCCTAACCATTAAGGGTCAATTATTTGTTTTAAACCTCTGACCCATCGGGCCTACCAACATGCAGTTCTCTTCCTTCTGTTTGTTATGTTTCAGAATCTGTGAAACATCACTTTCTGCTTTGTTTATATCTTCCTCTTCCTGTTCCCCAAAGGTCAAAGATCAGCCTGGGCGGCAAGGCCTTGTCCCATGACTCTGTCTTTGTTTCGGACTCATCGGAGACCAACGATGCTCTGGGGGCATCTCAGGAGAGCATCCACGGGAAGGTGAAATCACTACAGGTAAGTACTTATAAATAACCTAAGTGGTCCTTTAAGTTTGAGATACTTATCAACAGAGTGGCCACGTTTGAGCTCCTGTCTCAACAAGTTGTAGTCTCTTCCTGGAGAAGAATAATGACCCTGACCTCCAAGTGCATGTTAAGACAAGCAAGGAATTGAAAGAGAAAGAATTTGACTGCAGGTTAATGACGCATACTAGGCAAATAAAGACTCACAACCTGTGTGTTTGGGAGTTCTATGACCCTTTGCTGATCTGCTGTCAATTTATCCAAAGATAATGAAAGTAAAAGCAGGCAGTCGCTCAAATGTCTGTCACAACAACGGGCTAAAACGGGAAGACTCGAGAGCCAGACGGATGGACAAGTTAAACTGCTGCACTAAGCCAACTTTAGGGGAGTGAGAATTAAACAGCATCTTAAGGGGATTTGCTCAAAAGGAAAACTTTCTCCTCTGGCTATAACACTGCTCTAGAAAAGGGATTAGTTTGCAGACAACACAGCAACACACGTGATCATTCATAATAATTTAAAAACGGTACAAGTATGTAGATTAGATAGAAGTAAACCCTTGAGGTTAAAGTAAACACATTGATTTCTATAAACTAACTGTAGTGTTTCCGCCACCCTCTGATCTGCCTGTTCAATTATTAAAAGAACAAAAATATAATCAAACTATTTAGGGATCACCATGTTAGGAGGTTATGGCATACAATAAGGCAAATTGCAACACTGTAAGGTGTGTATTATATGGGGGTCACTAACTTAGGATACCACAAACAATATCATATATTGAGGTCATTAGCCCAATTTTATACCTGTAACAAATGTTTGACTTGCCACCAAACATATTTATTGATATGTATTTATATTGTTGTTTTATTGACATTAATTTAACTGTTACATTATATTTTCCTCATTGAATGTGTTAGTCACATAATGGTGACCTCAAGTAAGCTAACTGAATTTGACATTATCATGGCTTTGCTATCATGTTCTGTAGCAGTTGAGATATTCACCCAAAAACTAATTTGAGATAAAGGGAACAAAACACAGTTAAAAAAGAAAGACTGGCTAACAGGAAATACTACCAACATCTTTTCCAAATGCTAATGTTATCTTGTTTGTTAGTTTTTTAGTTGGTCAGAAATACTATTCACTTGCATTAGTTACTCTTTATTTTGTCTGGATTCAAGTCATATTTGATGAAGATTGTAATGTAATGTTATATAATCAGTTTACACTCCAAAATTAGCAATACACTGCATTTCAATTATTAGCTTCCAAACACAGCTGCTAATGGTTAGCTAAGACGTTGCTATGTCCTTGTTTTAGCTGGAGCTTATATCTGTTTCTCAGTGTGTTACAGTAACAAAATATAATACTAACATTGAAAACTGCAGGGGTCGGTGTCCTTCAGTCAAGGTCTTGGTGTGTGTGCCAGTGTCCAGTCGGCTAAAGAAAAGCTGCATTGTCCAGTGTTTGCTTTGCACAGGAGTCCTTGAATGACTGTTACAGGGAGATAAAAAGTCTGATAGTTTGAGTTTCTGTGATACCTTACACACACACACACACACACACACACACACACACACACACACACACACACACACACACACACACACACACACACACACACACACACACACACACACACACACACACACACACACACACACACACACACACACACACACACACACACACACACACACACACACACACACGGAAAAGCCTAAAATAAACACTTTATATCTTGAGTGCCAGCTGACACAAGTTATTCTCTGTTAATCATACTCTACATTTGTGGGGATTTTCGGGCTGCAACGAAGGGAAACTTTGAAAACACAAAAATGTTTAGTCAAACACACCTTTGCTTCTTTCTAGCTGTAGTTGATTAAACAGGCTGTCAGATTTGGCTCTTCTCCATCGCCAAGTACACACATACTGTACTGACACACACACACACACATAAATACCTGGGAAATAATATTCACTTCCTGCTGTAATATCTACAAGTCTGGCCAAGTCTTTTCATTCTTAATCAGGTGTTTTGATCAGTAGATGACACACATGTACAAACACAAATATCTTGTTTTTATCTGCAGCTCCAGCTGAAGCAGGCCATCAGACTGGGCTCTCCTCCGTCCATCATGTGTGTGAAGAGAGCGGACGATGCTGGAACCATGTCTGAGGACGACGGCCTGCCCTGTAGTCCGCCTGAATACAACGCGCTTCACACAGTCATGGTAACACATTATTGAGTGATGTCCCACCCTGCAGTATACCTGAATGCTATTTTCAGACGGCGCTGCTAACACTGATTTTGTCTCTTCATGTCAGAATAAGGCTCAGAGGAACAGCCGCATGAGTCTGGAGGGAGTAGACAGTGGCGATGACCAGGTAAACAAACACACCACCAATTCAGTTTGCACTCCTATAAAATGGTCGGATATTTTGATTTCAAAATTGTACTCGTCATAGCCAACTAACCCAGACTTTAAAGGACAAAGTTTAAACATGAGTTAATCAGACTTTACACACCTTCCTCTGGAGACACAAAATGCTTTTTACAACTTAATTGGACAAATAAAGTAGAAAATATGTGCCAATTTTAAGTTCTGTTGAATTCAAAATAGATGTTGATATTATTTTATCAACATCTATTGATGCTAGGTAGCTTAGTAACATTTCCACTGACTGTTGCTAGCACTGTAGGTAGCATACACAAAGGTATATTTCTGAAACAGGAATCATGATTCTGTGCAATACAATGTGTTGACCTGATGTAGTGACAATGATGTTATCATCGCTCACAAAGGTACAGTGGAAACAATCAAATATGGAGATATCATGGTTAGTTGTTTTATTAAACAGCTACCGTAGTGCTAATGTAGCGCTGTAAGCTAGCAGCGGAGGTAACCATAAAAACATAAAACTTAACTTGCTGTTTTCAATGCAAGGCTCTGTGCCCCACCTCACGGTGAGCAAAGAGCAAATCGTGTTTTATGTAAATCCGTCTACAGGAATAATGCAGTGCTATTGGCTACTGTAAACAATAAATATCCTGTGTTTATACAGGAAACTCAAAAAACTCTCTGCTAGCTTCTTTATGCCATCTTTAATGCTTAATTAATAATTATTGGAGGGTTTTTTCACATGGGGACAGATAAACTCCCAAAGACAAACAAAATGACTGCCATGAAGAATTTAATATGTTTCACACGTGTTGAATTTACTGACAATGTAACTTTCTACATTGCAACTGTACATCACTGCTTTCCGTCACCCTCCAAAATGATCCACTTCTAAACTCCAATATGCTACAACCCAGTCTCACGGCATTTCGTGTTATAGTCACGACATTTAATCTATTGATTCGTGTTCACCAACACGATTTGCCCCTTTTTTTTTCGTGTCACACAGAACGATTTTAAAAGCAATGTATTTCTATTGGTAGTATGTTTCGTGCCTGCACCATGTCTTTTTGTCCGGTTGGGTCTTGGAAGACCGGAAGCTGTGTGGTTCATAAAAACATGTTCTTACTCAATATCAAGCCACAATTATTGTTTTTATTTTAAATCGTATAATGTCTGATTTTTTTTTGCCGTCCGCAAGGAAAAGAAATGGGGCTCAGAGCCTCAGAATACTGAAATCTGTATTTTTTAAATCTTTTTTTCCTTCTAATTTGTTATTATTTTCTAAATAACGCACTGTTATTTACTCAACAATAAAACACAATTATCCTTGTTTTTATTTATTTGTTTAATTCTATAATCTCTGGCTGTTTGGCCGTCCGTCAGGAACTGAATTTCAAAAACAGGAAACAGACGTAGGCCTATATGGGACATTTCGAGCATCATTGCGATACACACCCACTGAACTGATTACCCAGGATCCTCAGCTATGGTTTAAGCTCGGTGATTGGATGTTTTAGCCGCAATGCACGTTGGGATATGGTGTTTATGCGATATGAAATCCGAAAAACATTTCGGAGTTTAGGATGGCCGAAGACACTTCACTACCCATAATCCTCAGCTATCGTTTGGGACTACAGTCCCTTTGCTTGACAAACGCCGTGATTAATCTTCAAGATCTGGGATTGGATGTTGGAGTGGCAGTGCGCCAAGGTTACGCCAAGCGTCAAACAGCTCTTTGAAATGGAACGAAACCATGGCAGACTATCCAAAACTAGACTTGAACGGGACCAGCCCGGGATGGATGTGTCTCCCATCACCCAAAACCCCTGACTATTCTTTCAACTCAGTATTTACATTCGTATATTAAAAAAAAAATCAATAATATCTTTAAAAACTACAAGTCCTTTTATATCAGCTGTGCACCGTTATGGTGTAAATATAACCTATCTACCAATTGGATCAAATATAAAAGTCAGCCGAATTAATGTTGATACTGCAAGGAGACGTATTGTGTGAAGAGAAATTGAAGATGTTGTTTAATTGCTGATATATTTATGATCCACGTCACGCATTCAGTTTCGGTGGCAGTTCTTCCAGTTTGTCCAGAAGTCTTCTAATCAGGGCTCCATAAATAGAGAACTAAGGCAGATATGTAATATGTAATGCAGCCGAACCGTGTATTACAATGCCGTTATGTGATGACTTTCAAAGAGAAAAGCAAGCACACTCGGAATAAAGTATTATTTTCTTTCTTTTTTTAAATGTTTTTCGGATTTCATATCACATAAACACCATATCCCAACGTGCATTGCGGCTAAACAATCCAATCACAGAGCTTCAACCATAGCTGAGGATCTTGGGTAATCAGTTCAGTGGCTGTGTATCTGTTTCCGGTTATTTTATTTTGAAATTCAGTTCCTGACGGACGGCAAAAAAGCCAGAGATTATAGAATTAAACAAATAAATAAAAACAAGGATAATTGTGTGTTATTGTTGAGTAAATAACAGTGTGTTATTTAGAAAAGAATAACAAATTGGAAGGAAAAAAAAGATTTAAAAAATACAGATTTCATTATTCTGAGGCTCTGAGCCCCATTTCTTTTCCTCGCGGACGACAAAAAAAGTCCAACATTATACGATTTAAAATAAAAACAATAATCGTGGCTTGATATTGAGTAAGAACATATTTGTATGAACCACACAGCTTCCGGTCTTCCAAGACCCGACCGGACAAAAAGACGTGGTGCAGGCACGAAACATACTACCAATAGAAATACATTGCTTTTAAAATCGTTCTGTGTGACACGAAAAAAAGGGGCAAATCGTGTTGGTGAACACGAATCAATAGACTAAATGTTGTGACTATAACACGAAATGCCGTGAGACTGGGTTGGGTGCTATCATATGAACAAATGACAGTGAGTGAATATAACCCTTTCCCCATTCAAGTCATCTCATGTGAATTCTATAGTAAAAACATCTTATGATCCAATCTAATCACGACTAAATAAAAGGCGTGCAAGTTGACCTCTTGCTCTTTTTCCTTTTCCAAGTTGTATTGCCCTTTCTTTCTTTGTTACGTCTCTTCTTTCTCCCTCCTCTAATTGCTGTCTGTTGACCTACTGTATGAGTGTTTGTGCTTTAGCCCATGTGACCTGAAATGTGCCTCAAGCCAACTAACACCACTGTCAGTTAAAAATAATTCCTTCTGCTAAGTACTTTTCTGATGGAGACTACCAATTTGCGATATGGAAAATGTCCTAAAATAACTTGAGTATCCTTTTAGCCTCACTGGCTATAATGTGGGCAAAAAGCACAGTAAGCAAAGTATGACAAATGAGCATTTAATGATAGTGCCGTTATAGCAATTTCAGACGGGTCTTTGGCTAGTCATTTACCCGCTAAAAGGACCACAAATGACCCGCGACAAAGACATGCGCACAAAACCTGGAAATATCCCTTTTAAAGTGCATTCCACACAAAGGAATGTGGTCAAAGAGGGCTGCAGTGACTTATGAATTGCAGTCACAGTGGCACTTTCTTTTTGAGATTTTCCACTCACTGAGAACTCATAACAGACTTCACAGAGACACAGATTTAGATTTTCACCTGAAAATGAACTTTAATGTCATTGCAGGGCAACCGTATGGTTGTAGCTAGGCAAAAAAAAATGTCAAGTCAGATTGGGTAGTTGGGTCTGGGTCAGTCTGTTTTCATATATACTGTCAATAACAGATGGAGGCTCATTGAGTGGCTTTGAGATTTTAATAAAGGACTTTTTTTTTACTCTGGGTGTTAAAGCTGATCAGTATTTTACCTTTGACAGACTTATTAACAAATATGTTTTTTCGTCATTGAATCCCAAAACTACGGTGGCCAACAGGTGCAAAAACGTCACAACGGCCCAAAACACTTCGGAGAAATTACTAAAATGTCTGAATTGATTGAAATATAAAAACACAAATGTGCATGGAAACAGCAGGAAGCCCAAAACACAACTGTATCTGGGACACTAAAAAGTGATGCACACATCTGGGACGGAGCGATTGTTGACATTTGGGGATTTTAAAGTTGGCCAACAATCACTGTAAACATGCCTTATTATTATTTTATTTTAACAATCCAATCGCATTATTCCTTCCAATATTATTGCAGATTGGCTGTAAGCTAGCTAGCTAACGTAGTTAACCTGGTCATTTCATATTGACAAAGACTTACAATTAAGAAACACGCTAACTCTGCTAACAGTGACAGTTGGCCACAGAGGTGTGCATCACTTTTTAGTCTCTTTGTGTTTTGAGCTTCTTGCAGCGTTTTTTTATTTACAGTGTTTCGTTTATGCAGCGCTTTTAGTAAATGCTGCGTTGGTGAATGTTTTCTAAATGCTGGGCATGTATTGTCCATGGTGTTGTCAAGTTGTTGAAGATGTTTCTTCATTTGCATGTATTTTGGCACATTTGTGCTTTTATAATTTGCATTGCTTCTAAAGCTGCAGCGCATTTCTCCTAATTCAAGTGTTTTGGGCCGATGTAGCGCGTTTGCATCGTCCATCGGCCAACATATAAAACAACGATTGGCAGATTTTGTGATCGCAGTTTTAAAAAAGAGTGTTGTGAATTGAATCATAAAGTACTTGGTTAGGTTTAGGGTATGATCATTGTTTGTTATATAACGTAAGTTATTTTATATAAGTTAAGTACGTCCTGTAAATTGCGGACTGAACTAAATAACTAAATGTTGACTTGGACAAAAAGAGGGGTCTCTTGGGTGAAAGTCCCTGTGTTGGTTCGCTTTACGTACTTAAGTTAAGTGTTTTATGTTCGTGAAGTAAGTAATGTTCATTACACAAGTAAGTTGAAATAATAGATTTTTATATGGGACAAACAGCCCTACATGTTTGACCCATCCAGCTGCTCCAATCTCCTACGCCAACTTTGTTGCTCACTACAACTTCACCTGACTTGCTTCTATGCTGCGAGCATAATTACTATGGTCCTAGAGGTTGCCTCCTAACAATTAAAGTAAATATGGGTCGTAATAAGCCTATGCAGCCGTTTAGTGGGGAAGATGTTCAGATTTAGCTTCTAAGGAGCCAGATATTTCCTAAAGTACAGTGACCAAAACAGAACTACAACGAGAGTCTCAGATTTTTCATGTTCCCACAAACACAACAAATTAATGCGAATTTTGTTATGTTCTTGCTGCATGTGTAAACTGAAAACTGTAAATGGAGTTACTGAAATAAGCAGTCCTTCAAACACATTAGTTAAACTTTACTTTACTAAAACTCAAATGGATCTTTAATGTTATACTTTGGCTTTGAATGGTGTGATAGGAAGTTTAGAGGACACTTCAGACGCAGCTTTGGTAGGACAGTAAATTCAAAACAAAAACACATACTGTATCAGCTGCAGAGTAAACTGCTGGTGTGTGTGTGTGTGTGTGTGTGTGTGTGTGTGTGTGTGTGTGTGTGTGTGTGTGTGTGTGTGTGTGTGTGTGTGTGTGTGTGTGTGTGTGTGTGTGTGTGTGTGTGTGTGTGTGTGTGTGTGTGTGTGTGTGTGTGTGTGTGTGTGTGTGTGTGTGTGTGTGTGTGTGTGTGTGTGTGTGTGTGTGTGTGTGTGTGTGTGTGTGGTGTGTGTGTGTGTGTGTGTGTGTGTGTGTGTGTGTGTGTGTGTGTGTGTGTGTGTGTGTGTGTGTGTGTGTGTGTGTGTGTGTGTGTGTGTGTGTGTGTGTGTGTGTGTGTGTGTGTGTGTGTGTGTGTGTGTGTGTGTGGCATTCCAATGGTTTCTCTGGCAGTCTGCTTGTAGTTATAGAGTTTCTGCTTTAACCCGCCTCTTTCTCTCTCAGACACACACACACACACACACACACACACATACATAAAGCTCGATAAACATAAATCTAGCTGTTGACAAATAAAAAACGGGATTATGTCTCTTTAGCTGTCTCACCATCCCTCAGTCTAGTTATGCGTTTTAGCCAAAATCAATAATGTGAGTTTTAAATGTTGAGTTCTTCCAAATCATAATCATGTCATATGACCTCTAGTGGTATCTACCATGCTAATAGCTTTAGTTTAATTTGCTGTTGTTTATGGAGATATTCATCTCTGAAACTTCTGCCAAGAAACCCAATACAATGGATTAAGAAATACATTTGATTTGGCTATGTGGAAAGAACTCAATATATCTTCATGTAGAGTTCTTTTCTGGCGGCTCTGAAAGCATGGAAACATGTCCCAGTAGAGGAACAAAATACAAATATGAACAAGAAAATTAGCAAAATATGGCCGCTTTAAAACCTGGATTTTTTTTTGTTTATGTCTGTAAATCCTCTGTCTGCCAACAAAGAAAAATAATAATAAAAACTTAATTTCATTCAAAAATTGTGACTATAAGGAGAGTCATGATTACGATTGGCAGTTGTACAAAAAAGTTATAATACATCACTTGAAGTGTCGAGATGTCAAACTGAATCATTTGGACTTTTTTTGTGGATAATGGATGAGAAAAGGGAAACGTCTCTAAGATGTATTGTTGAAGCAAGGGAAAATGTGAGAGGGATACTTCTCCAGTGATGACAGAGTAAGTGTTGGTGCTGTGGAGAAGTACAGCTAATATTTATTCAGCTGGACCCCCCTCCCCCCACTGCTTTCCTTATCTCATCGTTTAAGGGAAACTCCACCTTTTACCACAATCGACTCTACCTGTGTCCTCAAGAGTGTTTCCCTGTTACTCAGTAATCAGTGACCCTCTGTGTCCTCTCTCCAGCAGTCCTGGTCAGGCTCCAGCAGAGCAGTGAGTCCTCTGGTGGTCCCGGGGGACTTCAGCCAGCCGGCCAGCCCCTTCGGCTGTCTGGATAACTCTGCTGCCAAACACAAGCTGGGCCTGAGACACAAAGCCTGCAACAGGAGGAAACACGTCTCTGTAAGACATTAATGCAAACACACAAACATCAGCAAATACACTCTCACAACCCAATACTGTAAATTATCAAAGCGGTTTGTTTAAACTTTGGTCCTATCATAACATTTTACTGGCCAATTTTAAAGGTCACCTATTATGCAAAATCCACTTGTTCATGTCTGTTATACATATACATGTGTCCCCCCCCCCCCCCCACCTTATCACCTGAATCTCCTCCTAGAGCACAGTGTGTTCTTTTTAACCAAATATCTCTCAGAGGGGAGGGGCTCCTTATGTTCATCTAAAGTAACAGACAGAGAATCAGCACTTTTGAAACAGGGCTGAAACAGAGGGGGTTATGGGATGCGGCAATGATCTGTTTGGTGTTTTGAGCCAAACACTTCAGAGACATGTTTTGTATATATCTGAGACCTATAATATATTGATGAGAAACAGTATATTAGGGGACCTTTAACTAATATTTTGACTAATTATGTCGTTTTTTTTCATTGGCTAACATGGGCTTTTCTTTTTTAACTTATATGATCATTTTTGTATCAATGTCTCCATCTTCATTGAGAAAACTAGGATTTAGTCAGCATTTTTTGCATGTCAGGGTTCTTAATCCCCAAGTCAATGGGTGTTTGGATAAATACCTGAATGAAGCTCAAGAGATGTGTACTTTATGTTCTACAATATAGAATAACTCAGTAAATACCCACAACTTGGAGCTTCAACTTGTCTTAAAAAAAGCAGTTGCTAACAAATAGCTTAATTAGCTTAATTAGCTATTTGTTAAAAAACAGTGAAACTCATCTACTCAGGGACCGTGAAATAGTTATTTTAAATCCTAACGTTAGCTTTAAACGTATATACTGTAAAAGGTACAGTATCAGAATAAGTAGGAAAGTATCATAAATGTTTTTCGCAATAACTTTCATATAATGGAGAAATCACATTAGCTTTTTGTCGATGGAACCAGTGTGATGCAAACTTTTGGGTTGGATTACTAAAACACGTAATTCCTGCCGTAGTTTATTGGACTCCTCCTAGAGAAAGTTGAAGCATTGACTGACGGATCCTCTTCAGCCAATCATAACATGATAGGTATACATGATGTGGTAATGATCAAATGTTACCTGATTGTGCCAGCGATAGAGCCAGTGTCTTAAGCACTTTAGCAGATTTCGCGACTGAAATGTGCCTCTTTTAGTTTAGGACAATCATACCAGTTCATGGTCGTAACTGATAAAGAGTATTTCTTTGTAAATGTTTTGTGTCAATGTAGAGGCTGGAGTTGAAACCAGAGGGAGAGTCTGTGTTGGACGGGACACTGAACGCCTCCATAACAGCAGATTCAGAGGAGCAAGATCAAGAGAATCCAGCAGAAGGTCAGAACACTTCCTGCTCTGCTCGATTCTACTCCATCTTTTTTTTTTTTATCAAAATGGTTGACTCTGCATGTATGGAAGATTCTCACTGCCAGTGTTTCGAATTCAATGATATCATCAAATTAAAAATGACTTGTGTTAAAAAATGTTTTTTCCATTGTCAAAGAATGTTCTGTTTACTCATGAGAAATATCAGATATCTTTTCTTAGAATTTGCATGCAATTTGCAAACTAAACCTCCAAATCAGATTGCTTTAAATAAACTATGCCTTGATTGAAAATATTAAATAATTATTATAATGATTAATTATTATTATAATGACTTATAATGGCCGCACAAATAGGATAATGTAACTTTATTTTAGAAAATGATTTCACTGTAACATTGGCATCTATAGACTTCCATATGCTTGCTGCCAGTATATCATCAGCTTGACCTCTGAGACCTTTGCCTCTGCCTGTGGTCCAGGTGTAAGAGCTGATGAGCTGAAACCAAAGGAGGAGAGGGAGGAAGAGGAAGAGGAGGAGGAGGAGCCAAAGCATTCCAGACTGAGCGATGAGGAGGAGGAGGACGAGTGTGAAGCAGAACAGGACGTTTCTCACGGCCCGGACACTTCCTCTCTTACGGAGCTGAGACTCCCAGAGGAGGAATCCCCGGACACCAGGCCCCTGCCCTCCTCCGGGCCCGGCTCCAGAGCCTCCTCTCCGGACAGTCCCGGGTGATTACACATCATTTCCCCCATGTTTCCTCCACTTCCTGTCTGTCTCTGTTTCCTCTAACAATCTGACTCCTTGATATCTGCTTACAGAGCCACGCCGGAGCCCCCTGCTGGTCCCCAAGAGTATCTGCTCGACCCTCTGAGCGTCACCTTTGGAGCGGAGGAGGTTGACTTGAGCGGAGAAGAAGATGGAATCCAGGAGAACAGGGAAGAGGAGGAGGAGGAGGAGGAGGAGGAAAGCTCCTTCTTACAGGAAGTGCTGAGCTCCCTGAAAACTCCCCTTGCGTCTTGCTCACTGATGACTGAAGGGGTCGACCTGGAAATAAAGGAGGAGGTGGAGGAAAGAGACGTCGTGGAGATGGAAGGAGAGGAGGTGGAGGAAGAGGTGGTGGAGCCTGTTGGTTATCAGGCTGCTCCTGTTGACTCCATCCTGTCACACCAGTCTTCACAGGAAGAGGAAGAGGTTTCCACTTTAAGCACTGCTTCTTGTCAAGATGTTGAACAAGAGGAGAACATGGAAGTTAGGGAAGAAGCAGCCATCGAGGAAGAGGAGCTAGTGGTGGAAGAAGTCAGTCAATACTGCGTATGTATTTCTTACTCATTTCTCAAAATGTTGATTGTTTTGTATCGAACACAATGGGCCTCATGCAGGACCCTTGATCATATGCTTGGTCTACATTGTTTTATCTCTTGTGTCAATGACTTAAGATCACGTACATTAACATATGTTGCCAGGTCGCAGGTGCTTTTCTAAAGAGCATTTGAGGTGTTTTGTTGTTGTAATACTTGTTTCGGCCACTAGTGCAACACTACACCATGAAGGTTTCTCATTTCTCTAATTCCCCTCCTCGACTCCCCTCCTCGACTCCTATCCTCGTGTCTTAGTCCCGCCCACAGGAGATGCGAGCGGAGGAGCCGAGGAGGGGAACCGAGGAGAGAGGAGGGGAACCGAGGAGAGAGGAGGGGAAGCAGCAGGCGGTTAGAGAAATGAGAACTCCTCTCCTCTGAGCCGTCATTTTAAAGAGACGTAAAGAGCACTCTGTCTGATGGACAGATGTGTTCATGACGACTTATATATTTACTTTGAATTCATTGACAGTGCGGTATAATGAGACAATAACAGGCTACAGATGCGGACATATACACACACACACACACACACACACACACATATATATATATATATATATATATGTGTGTGTGTGTGTGTGTGTGTGTACATCTGTATATATATATATATATATATATTTATTAATATATATATATATATATATATATATATATATATATATATATATATTTATTAATATAAATATATACAATTTCATATTCAAACAAGTAGAGAGCACTCTCATAATAACGTAACACTATCAGAGACTGGATATATCATATCAGTAAGCACAGGACACCAAACCAACTGAGACCTGTCTGTCCGCCGCATCTACAGTACGCACACACTGTACCACACACACCTACACACTGTACCACACGCACCTACACACTGTACCACACACACCTACACACTGTACAACACACACCTACACACTGTACAACACACACCTACACACTGTACCACACGCACCTACACACTGTACCACACACACCTACACACTGTACCACACACACCTACACACTGTACCACACACACCTACACCACGCACCTACAGCTCCTAAAGCATATAATCAGGATACAGCCGTTGTGTATTTTATTATGTGAAGCACTAAATGGTTTTAGACAAATATCGACTCTTTGTTTGTAGATATCTACTAAACTAAAGCAAATAAAGAGAGTAGACCTGTTATACTGAGTGATATATATTATACACACTGCTCTGCTTTCTGAACGGACCTCACAGCTGTTCTCACTGTAAACATCGCGTCGCGATGAAAGCAGTTAATAAAATAATATCCAGGGGATGCATGCAGAGATGTCATTGGCTGAGATAAGTCCGGCCGTGCGTCACGACTCTTTGAAACATCACTGTTCCCGGAAATACATCCGTGGAGGACCCATCAGTGTATCCTCGGTTATAGCTCCTGCAGAGAGCCTCCTCGATGCTCGATCCTCGATGCTCGATCCTCGGTCCTCGATGTGCATTTATAGAAATGAGATGTCCTTCAACATGGCGCGCTGAAATCCATTTCCGGGTCACTACCGGAGGACCGAAGATTCGAGGAGTCGAGGAGGGGACATTAGTGAAATGAGAAAGGGCCCATGTTCTAAACTTTTAGCATTCATGATTCATGAGTTTACATTTGTCTATGTGCTCTGAACACAAGGTCCTTAACAGGTGTTGGCAAGTTATTTCATTTTCCTGGCATGCTTTTCTTTGCCTAGAAATGTATCTGAATGATATCAATATACCCTGTAATAATAAGAGAGTGCATAGAGAAATTAAAACTCACCTGGAAAAAAACATCTGAGGTTTTATTGCGATTTGAACATGTTGCATATCGGCCTCTTGTGGTCAGAAATAGTATTACAACAACAAACACTAAATATGTGCTCATCATCTGAAATTCACCTGCCAATACATTTTCTTTCCAATATTTTACAAAAATGTAACTTGTAGAAAAAGAGTAATTTAAAGAAGGATCCCAGCAAAACCTTTTTTCACAACTGCTCAGAGGAAAAAAAGCTATGAAACCAAATGTTATGTTTTATTGGTATGATTTCTATATTTGTTGATGTCGGTATCATATTAAAACTCCAAAATCATAAACCAGTTCGGCCATTTTAGGTGGGAGCAAAATATATTTGTAAACACATATTTGTAACATTGACCTACTGTAATATCGCCCTGTAAAGTTGTTAAGGAGAGCATGCTAACTACAGATCTACACAACCAGCAGACATGAAGCAACATTAGCATTCAGTCAAGTCGTGTTTCTGTTCACCCAAAATTCACTCTCCTTTAAGCTCTGTTTTTGGTCTCCACCAGAAATATCTGGCTCTTTGGCAACTAAATGTCCACCTCTCCCTAGCTAACTGTTAAAAAAACAAATCTCTACTTTCCTTATATTCCTCTGTGCTTTATTTTCCAGCGAGAAGAGGAAGAGGACGCAGAAGAAGACGAACCCGAGGAACAAAATGATACAGGAAACACCGTAAACAAGGCAGAGGAAGAGGGAAGAGGAGAAGAAGCGAGTGAGGGAGAGGAGGAGGCCATTGGGCTGAAGAAAGAACCAGAGGTGGAAGAGGTGAAGGTGGAGGTGGAGGTGAAGGAAGCAGAAGAAGAGGAGAGAGTAGAGGAAGCAGAGGAAGCAATAGAGGAAGAGAGCGACGACGCAGAAGAGATGACTGAGGCGTTTCCTGATGCAGCTCATGATGACATACAGCTGCAGGAGGAAGACGAGGGTGTAGTTGTTGTGGTTGGAGATGATGGTGAAACGATGGATGATCAGGTGCATGAAAGTCAAGTAGCTTCTGATCAAAGCATAGAAGAGGAGAGGGAAGATGGAGAAGAGAGGATGGAGGAAGTCATAGAGATGGAAGATGGTGAAGCAGATCAAAGTGAGCTAGATCTGCAGGAAGAAGGTGGAGAAACACCACATTCAGACATGAAGCACGTTTCTGTCAAGCCTTCTTCTTTGTCTCTCCCTGAATCACACCACGAGCCTCCGTCACCTGAGAGTGGAAGCATCTCTCCCAGCAAGACCTCCACCATCCACATTAATCTACTCTCTCCGAGCTCAGAGAAGGCACCATCTTTCTTCCCAAAGTCCCCACCTGACACACAGCCCAAAGAAAGTGAGACGCCTCATAAAGCTGAGGAGCAGAACGCAGACACAGAAGAAGAAACATCTGATCATGTGGAAACAGTAGAAGAAGAGAAACAGTCAGCTCTCGAGGAGGAAGCTACACTTCCTGTGTCTGTGGAGGAAAAGGTCAACCAGGTGTCCAGCCCCACCCGCTTCACCATCACCCCCGCCTGGCAGAGGCCGCTGTCTGTCGGGGACGCAGAGGAGAGTTCCACACCTCCTTCCTCCCAAACCACATCTTCATCGTCCTCTGACACAAGGCCCCGAGAGGTGGAGGTGGAGGTCAGTGAAGGGAAAGCAGAGCCAGCGAGTCCGGCGAAGGTTGAAGTGGTGTTGAGCCCGGGAAGAGCGAGGAACGCAGGGACCCCCACCACCACGTCGTCATCATCCAATCATCCGCAGACCCCAGCTGCTGCAAGCACAGAAGGTGAGGACGTCAAATGTGTCCAAAAGAACATCATGGAAGTTTTTGTGTTTGGGTTCTTGATTGGTCTCTGAAATCGAAGTTGCTGTCATTTTTTGATTTTATTCTTCTCTTTTTCTTTTTTTTTATAATAGTTATGATTATATTATTACGCACTACATTATTACTTGTCTTATTCTTGGACTTTTTTTCAATACAATTTAATTTGCTGATGTATATTTATTTTCTTAAATAATATTTTTTATATTCTTTGCACAACCAAACTTTGAGTTCCAAAGTAAGTCTTTTCCTTCCACGTTTTATATTAAAGAGTATGTCTGCTGCATGTGAAATGAGGTGAACTCGTCCTTTGGAGTTAAAACGAATCTAAACCACAGACCAACTTTTCCACTCTCCCTCCTACAGAGAGCTCCATGGTGATGGAGGGAAACCCCGACAATCCGTTTGGAGTTCGGCTGAGGAAGACGTCGGCTCTGCCTCGCTTCAGCTCGGAGGAGGAAAACACAGAGGTGCGTCTCCGGACTTTGTTCTTACTATTATACGTTTTGCTTCCAAAATATCCCTAAGCAACACACGTCATTCTTGAAAAGCATTGAAGATGGTCAGTTCTGAGGGTTTCTGCAGGGACATATGGGGGCCCATTTACGCCAGTAAAGGAAAACAAACAAAAAATCCTGAAAAGTCGTTATATTTAAAAACTTCCTTAAAAAAATGACTTATATCAGGGTTGCCAACTTTGGGTACCTGGCTGGAGTGAGACTTTGATATCATGGGTTTAATTCGGTTTAATTACACATATGCGCACGAAATGACTGCTATCGTGTCAGCAGCGGGACCTTAGCATATAGGATATATATACAATATATACAAATACACAATAATGGACACAGACTATAAAGGGCACACAGTTTCATTCACTAATGAAAGTCAAACATGTTTGTTTCCACTGTTTTATTGTGTGCCTGTCGCGATAAGCAATTCATTGACTTATCGTACGATAAATAAAAATGAACTCGATAAATTGCCATTTACATGAGGATGTGATTAGCAGTTTGAAAGGATGTACTTGAATTATTATTATATATTTTCATTATGTCAGTGGTCTAAAATGGTCATACAACGGTGCCGACAATATTATCGTTTATCGCAATAATTTCCGGGAAAATGTATCCAACAAAATTAATTATCGTGAGAGGCCTATACATGCAACACACACACACAAACAAATCTACAGACTTACTCCAAACTGCCAAATATATTAATTAACACACTCTCACTCTCATATACTCTTTGACTCTATTTTGGCCAAGTAGAACAATAAGCAGCAGACTTTTACTTTTTTATAATTTCTACTGGATCTTAGATCTGCGCATGCGCAATGCGGGTCGGCAGTTGCGGCTCCAGAGTATTTTTGTTGCGTAATCTATGGTAGGGCTAACCCTTACAGTGGTGGGGCTCAAGTCAGTATTTGCAATGTAATTACATACACGCTCCCCCCGACAGTGAAACGCCACGCGTGAGGTTTAGATTATTTCCCTGTCTCAATCCAAATTGAACTGTATGAAATAAAAAGGCACATTTGTCTTGTAGTAAATAAAAAGGGCGACCTGGAGCCAATCCTGCAATTTCCCCTTAAGTGAAAGAGTTGACATGCTAAAAACCCAACCCCTGCAGGGGGGTCTGGGGGATTCTCCCCCAGGAGATTTTTTTAAATACTAACATAAAATACACATTCTGGTACTCTCTTGAGAAGAAAAATAAATCAATCTATTACTACACGTCACGACATATTTAAAAAAATGAATGGCATTTTAGTTTTGTGTGACTTTGTTCTGAAAGCTGAACCTGCTGCTCCTCACAGAGAGAAGAGGGGAGAGGCTCTGTGAATTACTTTACATTGTGGATAAGGGTGGATAGCCCCCATTGTTCTGTGTGTCAAAATGAAAGACAGCCCACACACCTATCAATCATCAAACCGTGGGGTCTTATTTCATTACGTGTTGATTTCAATCAACACGTAATGTTGTATCGATGTATAGAGATGTACTACCGCAAAAGTATTCTCCGTCGGGACTTCCTGCAACAACACCACGCCGTTATCGTGATTCTGATTGGTCAGAAGACATTATCAAAGATGTTCTATTGAGAAGAAGATCACTACGTGACAAAAGTTTTCAAAACCGTTTCTAGTCTTCGGTATTCTTGTTTTTGGCGTGAGAATAGTTTGGGCAGCGTGAGAGCGTGAGATTGAGAGTGAAAGCGTGTGTCACACGCCAGATGTGTGAGAGTTGGCAACCCTGCTTATATATCTCAGAATATTGGCTCAGGTTCTTAACCTGTTTTCACGAAACTGTGTCTCAGGGCTTCTTAACATTTAACAACCTATTAATGTGTCATCCACTTAACGGGAAGAAACTCTGCTAACTGACGATATGAACCATTCTTGCCTAAACGAAACACAAGGGTAATACCAAGCCTCTGAATTAGCACTGAGCGAAAACATGCTAACGCACTTAGCACAGAACTCACGGTAGAAATATTTTATTACTTGTCGGATCTGCACAAACAAGATATCAGATTAAAGCTGAGATTCCACAGATTCCAGTAGTATAAGTATCATCACTGTGCGATCAAAAGGGCAGCGAAGGCAAACCCAGACAACACACAGCGTAGCTTTACGGAGACAAAACGGCAAATACGTCTTACCTTTGCTGTTTTCTGATCAAAAGTTGTGTTCAATGGCATTAAAACGATAAAAACGCTGCTGAAGGTTAATCCAATGTGTCTGTGTCACTTTGAAATGATTACTGATAATCCATCATAACATTTTTGTCAAAAACTGCGATATCATATAGAGTGTGTGAGAGCTACAACCCAGCTTCCGGTTTTGGGCATGCATCTCTCATTCACCAATGGTAATGTTTAGATGGATTTTAGGAACTTTCCCTCGATTCTATTGGCTCTAACGGTTAAAAAAAGGTGTCAATCATCAAAATCGACGAGGGGCCCAGAGATATGGCAAATCCACCCAAATGACTCCAGAAATGGGTTTTTTTCTAAACCTCTCTAAAAAGGTCAAATTTCACTTGTTTTGCATCAATCTTGATACAGGGTACTTATTATATGTTATAGTTTGGACTCCTAAAGCTTTTAGTCTACGATCCCATCATTCAAGGGTGGTTTTCACTATAAGTAATGGTTTTTTTTTGGACGGACACTATAATTTACATTTTTTCATCTGAATTTACTTTAAAATAAAAACATCTATATTGATTCTGACTCTTCTACATCCAACTCACAGGTTTATCATTACTTTGAGAAAAAATATTATTAATTTACCCCTTTTAGAAGTGAATTTATAGTCATTTGTTCTGGGAATGTCATTTTCGAGCCTGAGACCTGGAAAACAGGCTCAGGGCTTAACAGGTTAATATGATAACTTAAAATAAAAGTTTATCATTAGTTTAGATACTTAGTCTATTTTACACATTTTTGGAAATTGGCTTCCATAGAGATCTGAAGTTGTTTTAACTTAATCCAGGAAACTAAAAGTTACCAAAATTCATCATCAAAGGTGTTTTAGTGTATTAAGGCAGCTATAAGTCATATTTAACAATAGATCAAATAACAAATTGTATATGAAAGGTGGTGCTCATAGTGACCAACCCACAGTCACTATACACTGCAGTTTCCCTCTGTACTAAGAAGCGCTTTTGCGTCTTTAAGCTAATTGTTTTGGTTTAGGGCATAAACTTTTTGGTTTTCTTGGAAAAGCAAAACAAAAGCAGAGTTTAAAAAAAAAGTAAATTTGAGACTTATTTTCACAGATGTTGCCCCTTACTGTATATCCTGGATGTGTAAATAATAACTGATTATTTGCGTGTTTCTGCTGACCCCAAGTGGACAAAGAAATGATTGAATGCAGTTGTAAAATACGTTTTGTATTGAATTGTTGTATTTATGTTTTATCGTATGCAGCCTTCCGTGGAGCCTTCAGCTCAGCCAACCAGCTGTAGAGTTGACTCTCCGCAGCCAATCAGTGTTAAGCCCTCCATAAGTCAGCCTATCAGCAACAAGCCCGCCCTCCCTAAGAAACCAGACGTACAAGGAGACAGTGGAGGGATAAACAAGCGCATGACAGGTTTGTACACACACATAAACACACGTTTTATTTTCCATAAACGATGTGGCAATGCTTACAGCATCCCAAAGACTTGAGCTGTGGTGTAACAGTGTCTCTGCTGTGTATTGATTCAGATCCAGCTGCAGCTCGGGGTGCTTCTGCTGGCTCTGAGTCTCCCAGCTGGATTTCGCTGGCCAAACAGAAACAGAAGATCTACAAAGAAAACTCCCTCGATGAGGTCTCTGTCAGGAAGGTAATATGTGTGTTTGGTCGGTGTGGTTGGATTAGTCTTTTATGTGGACACATTTCCCCATTCAAGTGACAGGGAAAGAAGTTCACTTCAGTTCATCTTTATTGTCCTTGTTAGTAGGAATTTGATTTGCAGCAGAACACGAAAAACAACAACAGAAATCACATAACAATACAACAATGATTTATTGTTTACCTTTATCAGTTCAGTCAAAAGCTATGTTTACCGCTTTAGCTCGTCCGCCATGGTTAAGTACCTCATACAATAATATTACAATATCTAAATATCCCTTCAACACTAGGGCTGTGACTGGTGTATCCAATATGCTGAAGAAGTTAACATAGCTGACATGGGGTTTAGGTTTTGGTTCAGTCTAAAATGACATGGTTCAGATGCAGGTGCTGTTGGATGTGATGGTGGTACATCCTGTTTTGGCCTCCATGTGTTAACAGTTACACCCCCGCACATTTACCGCCACATCATTTATAACTGAGTGTGCTGCTCTCTGTCATCAGGAGGAACCGGAGAGGAAGAGTTCCCTGCCAATGAATGTCAGCTCAGCGGCAAGCAACAAAACAGGTCAGAACACACACACACACATACACATACACATACACATACACATACACATACACATACACATACACATACACATACACATACACATACACACACACACATACACATACACACACACACACACACACACACACACACACACACACACACACACACACACACACACACACACACACTTGACTTCCGAAATCTGAAACTCCAGAAGATGCATCAGCTGCAGCAACAACATACTTTGTTTGGTTTCAGTCATTGAGAATGTGTATACTAAAAGGCAGTTTCTTTGTTAGACCCCAGGTGTGATGAAACCTTCCCATTAGTTTTTCTGCTTTCAAGTACAACTTTTTGTTCAATTCTGACCTCATGTGGACAAACTCTGCTACTGCAACAAGCTCGACCGGAGTAATTTTACACAAAATAATTGGGATTTATTTTCTTAATTGCTGAGGAATGTATTAAATGACTGAATATATTATGAAGAAAGAAATGCCCTACATCAAGAAACAAATAAAGATAAACCTCAATAGATCACAATACCAGTGAGCAGTGCTGTTTAAAAAAAGGACTGTTATTCATTCTGCTCTGAAACTAGTATGATTCTTTTTGGTGGTATTATTATTCACATTTCTTTTACAAAAACATGAATGTTAAACAAATGTACAGAAATATAATCATGTATTAAAAAAATTGGTTTTCAGAAATTGCTCAGTAATTAACCAAATAAGCTAAATATCTATTTATTTATATCCGTTTATATTTTAATTTTATGTATACCCAAAAATACAGGAGTCAAACGTGTCAATATATTTCTATATGCTGCTAAAACTGAAATAAACAAATTAAAAAGAAATAATTTAAAAACTATAATTATGACATACAAATAAAAGAAACAAAACAAATACGTTTATATACATTATTTTTTACTTTTTAAATGCATCTTTAATATTAAGATTGGCTTTTTGTTTGAATATTGTTTTTTCTCCTTCCAGTGAGTGCGTTGGAGATCGGTAAGCCTGCAGCGTCAGCAGAGAAGGAGTCCAGGAGGACTCTCTCTCCTCCCACTCCGGTCCCCCCTCAGCCTCCTAAACCCCAGTCCCTCCCCTGCCCCGTCCCTCCAAAACCCCAGCTCCCCCCTGCCACCGCCAAACCTGCCCCCCAACCTCACTCCCCCCAAAGATCTCTGTCCCCCTCTGCTCCCACTCCTGTTCCACAAAAAGCTCCCTCTTGCACATCCCCCTCAAAACCTTCCCCCACATCCAAGACACTTACTTCCCCTCCTTTTTCAACAAAAATCCCGGAAAAGTCCAAAGCTCCGGGGCTCCCCGGCCAGACCCCTGCCTCCCAGCGCGGCCAGCCCCCCCCTACCCTGCCCCAGGATGAGCCACCCTGGATGGCGCTGGCCAAGAAGAAGGCCAAAGCCTGGAGCGAGATGCCCCAGATCGTCCAGTGATGGAAAGAGATGTGGCTCCATCAAAGAGTCTGGATGGACATTTGCACACAGTTGTTGTTTTCTTACTTTCTGGTTTCTATCCTGGTTTCTGATTGGTGCAAACCCTCCAATCAGTGCTGAAGAGAGGCTCAGTGTAACTCCTTCTTCCTTAATGTTGTACATTCATGTTTCTAAATGGCAGACCAATGCGTCTTACTTAATGTGGATACCCCAACAGTCTAAGTATGTTCAAATGTGCCTAAATGAAAGGAATTACTGCAGCAGATATGTACAAATATGAACTTTTATCCAAAATAACTCGCATAATTTCACTCAATAGTTCAGGGATGACACAATTATTTTATAAAGAGGATACTTTTTCCACAGAGAGTGATGATAAAGAGACGTGTGTGTGTGTGTGTGTGTGTGTGTGTGTGTGTGTGTGTGTGTGTGTGTGTGTGTGTGTGTGTGTGTGTGTGTGTGTGTGTGTGTGTGTGTGTGTGTGTGTGTGTGTGTGTGTGTGTGTGTGTGTGTGTGTGTGTGTGTGTGTGTGTGTGTGTGTGTGTGTGTGTGTGTGTGGTGTGTGTGTGTGTGTGTGTGTGTGTGTGTGTGTGTGTGTGTGTGTGTGTGTGTGTGTGTGTGTGTGTGTGTGTGTGTGTGTGTGTGTGTGTGTGTGTGTGTGTGGTGTGTGTGTGTGTACTTTAAGGCAGTGATATATTCTCACATTGAGGAATGTGGAAAATATTGTGACCAGAGCGTAAAATGGGATAACATGCAAGCTACGCTGGGGAAGAATTTGTACAGGTCAGGAGTTTTGGTCAAATTTGCTGAGTCATGATTCCTCAATCTGCATCAGGTTATCCACTGACACTCAGCTGCTGTCTGTTGTGTTGCATGTGCCGAGTGTGTCGACATGACGCAGGTGGTTTATTGTAAATTGTATTTTAAATGTTCTCTTGATATTTGGAATACGTAACTCACACAGTGTCTGTCGGCATCATACAGAAATCTACAAAAAAGTAATCGGATCAGGAATCAAGAAAAAATGATCATATTGTTTTTCACGTTTTTAATACTTTTGTGTACATCATATTGGCAGCGTGTTGTGAGCAAAGCATCACTAAAGGAGTACAAATCTAAATATCTCACAGTGACTATTATGTTTATTGCATTTTGTTTTATTTCATATTGCCTTTGGAGAATTTGTCTTGTACATCAAATGTGCAGTAAAGAACAAATGAAATCAGTGTTTCTGCTTGTCATGTTTCTGTGGAGTTGTAAAGGAAATGTGTTTTTCTAACGGCAACACAGTCCCGCCATCTGAGTTGAAATGTAACAGTTACAAACCACTGTGTCCAACACTCAAAAGAAAGCATGCATGTATTTGATGTCTCTAATTAAAGCATTTTTATTTTTTAACCCACATGTCTGGACTTCATTTTCTCTATGCCATTAGAATATGTGTTTATCGTGGTAAATCAGGTTTTCATTACATTTTTTCTGGCATAGAATCTGGCCACCTAGAAGGATAATACCATAGTCAACATAAGGATAGTTGATAATCGCAATAAAAATGTTGCACTTGATGGATTTTTCACCTATTATGATTTTTTGGGTTTGCCCTTTCCAAGGTTTTTGTGCATGTAAATGGTCTGCAAAGGCAACAATTCCCTCCAGAGGGAGTTTCTCTCCCACACACTCCCCCCACCTGCCTGAAACGCATCCAGACGTAACATAATGACATCACGATGTTGGGCTCTGGTTTCAGACAGAGGGTGAAAAGAGGTGCTGCAGCACAGGCAGTATGAGAGTGAAAAACACTTCCACGTTCAATCCTAAAACAGCATATTAAAGGGGCTTTAAAGAAATACACTGTCAATTTAGTTTTGCAATTTACCAAGGAAAGTTTAAAGGTCAACATTAAAGCAGTACAGTCTGAGATATCCTGGTTATTAGACCCCCATGTGGTTCAAGCTCCAAAACACTGCACCTCAATGTCTGTTTCAAACTCCACGCCTCAGTTTGTAAGGCACATTTCATATGTATTTGACTTTAAATGCACTATTTTTGCTAAATTGTGTTCACAGGTAGAGTATGTTAGGGCTGCATCCAACAAATGTTTTATTATCAATTCATATGCAGTTTATTCTCTAGGTTAATCAATTAGTAGCGAAGTTTAAGGTGATTTCTTTAAATATATTTATTTTTGTCAGTCCAAAACTAAAAAACTAAATTAAAGATGATGATGAAAAAAGCTGTGTTCCAGTTTTCTGCAATTTTTGCATTAAAAATCACTTTAACTCTTGATCGTTTATTAAAATAGATGCCAAATATATAGCTTTCCTTCTGTCAATCGACTAATAGCTTAAGTAGACTCACCCTCATGTGAACAAATCTGTGTAATGCCCCTGTAAGTAACTAATACTTGACAATAAATCAAGTCATAACAATTAGTGGCTCAACAGATTGGAGATTAAATGTTTGCAGTGAAACTTATTTGTCATGAGCACTAACTTTAAACAAAAGACGTGCAATATTTTTGAACACATTTACATTAACACGTATGCACATCTGTGAAGTGTGTGTGACTTATCCTCGTGTGTGGCCAGACATTGAGCCAAGTGTTTGTGTACAACATGAGCTAATTTGTGTGTGTGTGTGTGTGCGTGCGGGCGTGCGTGTGTAGAAGAAGCTGAAATCAGTGAGAGGGCTGCTTAAACTCCCCAGATGTCTTTTCTGGGTGAGTTAGGTAACACCGCTGCTGCCCTACTTCTAATACGCGTACAGTCTCACACACACAAAAACACACACACATTTCTGAAGTGGACCGGCCAAGATGTCTGATGTGTGTGTCCCTGCCAAGTATCCATAGCAATGACTGCTGGGTGCTGACCTTCTCAGTTACAGGTTACATAACCGACCGACTTGGCAGCATTCACAGAGGTGAGGAAGAGAATAAGGGAGGTTTGGATGGGTATTGGTAAGAGATTTTACAAACTTTCCATGTAGGACTTGCATAAATAAAAGAGCTACTTATCCGGCTATGGAAAAATCTTCTTAGAGTTGAAAGTAATTACAGTTCTCATAATTCTGTGGTGAATCAATTTAACGCTAAACTACTTCCATGCATGTCTGATAGTATGTGTGTCAGACATTATATATAACTTTTCTGCTTGGAGGCGTGACAAATATAAAACTTAAGCAACCAGAAAATAGGATTAATTCTCCCACAGAGTCCAACCTCCTGTGTCACTTTACATCATTTGGTACAGTTCAGATTTGGTATCATCTTGAAATAAGTTGCCTACTTTAGCAACTAGCCTACAGCAGGCAACGGGACACAGGGTTCAAGGTTCTTTATTGTCAATCTGACATAGCTACAGAGTAATTATGTAGTTGAAAATCTTATGTCACAGGCTTCTCCAACAATGCAACATACAGTATATATATATATATATACAGATAGCAAGAGCAATACAAAAAGTAAAATAGTTATAAAATAAAGTGATGATGTGGAATAGTGCAGTACGAGTCTATATACAAGTTATTGGAATGATATATATTAGATATTAGATACATATTACTGAGTAGCAGAAGAATGTTTTGAAGTTGTTTCAACAGTTCAATTGTTTAACAGTCTCACTGCCCGCGGGAAGCAACTGTCTCCGAATCTTCATGTCCTTGCCAGGATGCTGCGGTAACGTCTGCCAGACGGCAACAGAAAGAACAGTTTGTGGCTGGGGTGATGGGGGTCTTTGATAATCCGTAGTGATTTCTTCCTGAGCCGCTGGGAGTAAAGGTCCTCCATGGATGGCAGCTCCGTCCTGGTGATGTGCTGTGCAGTTTTCACCACCCTCTGTAAAGCCTTACGATCGAGGTCGGTGCAGCTGCCGTACCAGGCCGTCATGCTGCCAGTGAGGATACTCTCTATCGTGCACCTGTAGAAGTTGCAGAGTATCCTGGAATCCATTTTGAACCTCCTCAACCTGCGGAGGAAGAAGAGCCGCTGTCGAGCTTTCTTGGTGATGGTGGTGGTGTGAAGAGACCATGTCAGGTCCTCGGTGATGTGGACCCCAAGGAACCTGAAGCTGCTGACTCTCTCCACCGTAGTCCCATTGATGGCGATGGGGGCGTGTCCCTCTCCCTGCTGCTTTCTGTAATCCACAATCAGCTCTTTTGTTTTGCTGATGTTGAGATGGAGGTTGTTATCCTGGCACCAAGATGTCAGGTTTTCGACCTCCTCTCTGTACGCCGTCTCGTCATCGTCTGTGATCTGGCCGATGACGGTCGTGTCATCAGCAAACTTCACGATGGTGTTGGAGCTGTGTGTGGCCACGCAGTCGTGAGTGAACAGGGAGTAGAGGAGAGGGCTGAGCACGCAGCCTTGAGGGGCACCGGTGTTGAGAATCAGGGTGGAGGATGTGATGTTTCCCACCCGCACTGCCTGGGGTCTGCCCGTCAAGAAGTTCAGGATCCAGTCACACGATTCTGCTATCGGAAGAGTTCTGCTTTTTGTTTGCAGTAGCCCACATCTAGTCTGATACGACCAATCACGTTCAAGCAGGTTTTGGTAGCACGGAGCTATTTTTGATTAAGGGCTCTAAAAAAAAATTCCTTACCAGCAGGCAGCGGTAGTGTGAACAGCCAATCAGAGTGATTGCTTGGGCCGACTTTCTCTGACCTCCCACGGCCGATTCAACATGTTGAATCGGCCGCGGAAGGTGTGAAAAGGTGCCGTAAAGAGACGACGGTGTGGGACACACCAACCTGAGTAGGGCGCCGCGAATGCCCGACTGCCTCTGACGGCCTCTGACTCCCAAAATCGGGTTGGTGTGTAGCCAGCTTTAGGTCGCTAATAGGACTGTAGAAAGTTTACCAGGAAGGAAGTCTTTGCCCAGATATACACTGGCAACACGGTAACCTAGCCAAATATTGGTTGATGGTCCCAGAGGCTAAATCGTCTTTGGACCAATAGCAGATAGCTTCCAAAATTGAACCTACAATAAGTTGCGATTTTAGCCACTTTTGTTTGGACACAACTTCTGTCTAGCAGCAGAGGATGAGCTGGACTTCCACAGGAAGCACAATTGAAACCTTCTTCATTCTTTTGGGTTTGGTGAGACTCACCCGACCTCATCGCCCTGGGAACCATCTGAGGACAGGTTCTCACACTGTAATTGTTTCCAGTGACATTATACTGTAGCTGTCCAGTTGAATCCTACTGTGACAGAGAATTTCAATTAACACATCAATGGCAACACTGGCTGGTTCAAACCTGCTGGAAAAACAGACCTGTCTTGCCCTTGGTGGCCATGTTTCCAGTGAGATATTTGTCTGACCTGTGCCATAGATCAGAACAATATCATATACAAATCCAGAGACAGATGATAGGTCCTCAGTATGAATTAGAATAGGGAGGGATGAAACCCTCTTTAATGGTCACACATGCAGAGCACACAGCACACACAGTGAAATT